TTCAATATTTCACCGATCTGCTGTCGACGTGGTAGAAGAATTACATCACCTAAAAGATAAAGAGCAGCTTTAGGACCGTATGAACACTATTAATTTTTAAATTACGCACGAGCAGGTTTATTATTCTTAGCCGGGATATTCATTATCAAAACAACATTACTTGGATTACTGGTATCTTTAACAATTCGCCAACGTTTGGTCTTGTTATTATAGATCTTTGAATGTTCATTTTGTTGTAATCTTGTAATCCTAAAAAGTCAAAAGGGAAAGAGTATTAATAGCACAAAAAGGAACAACGACATACCTTTTTCGACGAACGCAACCAGCTTATCATGTAAATTTTTGTAAACACCTGGATACAGACGAAATTCTTTGCTATCGGAACGAATTGCTTCTTTCTCAATTTGTTCTACCATTCGATCTGAAAAAGAACAGAGATGTTCGAGGTGAATTCACTAAAACCTTGTACTCACCGAACGATCCGATATTTGCCTTATAAACAAGTTTAAAGACCATTTTTGAAGAATTACAAATGGAACAATCTAAAAAATAAACGCGCAAAAACCCACCTGTTTTAGATTTGAAATTTGAGAAAGAAACACAGAAATCAGACAAAACGACTTACTTTGTAAGATGTACGAATATAATGTATTTGTGTGTTATCTGAATCACCCTTTAAGGATAATTCAACTGCAATCGTTTAATTGCTGATGTATATTATCTGAAAGGAATATCACACATGTATGATTAATTACGAGGGTTCGATAAATTAGTTAGCTGCATGATGTGAGATTAAAAGGACTTACTTTGTAAGATGCACGAATATAATCGGTTTCGGTTTTATCTGAATCACCCTTTAAGGATAATTCAACTGCAATCGTTTAATTGCTGATGTATATTATGTGAAAGAAATATCACACATGTATAATTAATTTGGTTTGAAGTCCAGGGGAAACGTACAAACGTCTGATATTGGGCTTATAAAGAACTTTAAAGACCAAGATTTAGGACAGTATGGAATTTTAATTACCAGTAACATCTGTCTCTTTGCGAAAATCCGCACAAAACAGGCCAATTACGATCTACCTAAAGAAAAATGAGTGTGCCGTCCTAAACCTGGCTCCTACAGATCTCGGAGACTTGTTGTTTTGTAGAAGAAGTTGTGGTCTTTCAGATCAAGTGCAAAATAAATTTTTAGAATGGGTTTCCTTAATGGCAAAGG